CATGACAATCTGGTGGGTACCCTCACTTTGACACATTGTGACCTCCCCTTTGAAAAATCCTGGCTACGCCCGCACCCCTGAATGTGGGGTAGCTTCTTTACTCACTGTCTTGGTTAATAGTTTGCTTTTGAAATTTGTGGCCGAGCACTATAATATTTCTGACTTGTGAAACTTTTTCAATGCACATTTACAACATCTATTTGACTGAGCACTTCCCTTAAACAGATAACACCGGACAGAAAAAAAAATTAAAATTAAGTGACACTTCTGAATAAATGTCCCGCCTGTGAACAATGCTTCACCCTTTGAAAATATAGAAGCTAATACTCTGGATCTGCAATACAGGCCTGCACCCTGGGCTAGTGTTGGTTGTGTTTTGTATCTTATGGAATAAAAGAGTTGTTTCCTTAATGATCCTTGCCCCTAAGTAAGCACCGCCCTCTTTCTTTCATGTATGTACAGGCACAATTGCAACATCAAATAACATTATGAGAAAGTGTTAGAATTCATGTGATTTTCTGGTTTATTAGTGCCTCTGATGGAGTTGATGTCTGGCATTTGCAACTGGATCAGGAACAGCTGGATTCCCATGTACGATTCTTGCATTCTTGTCTAACAATCAATAATGATGAAGTTATATTGTACAATCAAAATTATATCTCTGGCAGATCCAGGAGGAAAATGGGTTCAGGCCTCCCCAGCACTCCTAGCCTGCAGTGCAGGTGATCTTACTAGGAGCATAAGTCATGCCGTGCCCACAAAACTTAAAGTTATCAATATGTTAACTTCTGAGGTGGCCTCTGTTATAAGCCTGGTTGTTTCTTTTGGAGGTCTCCTCACCGCTTTTTCAGTATTGTTGCTATCTTTTGTTATAATTTACGTGGCAAATAAATGATGATGATGATGATGAAGTTACCGTTTTGACCTCACAATCATTCACCAAGTTGCCTATCACAGGCCACCCCCTTGGTAAAAATCTTTCCCCAACTTTCCTTTGCTTCAAAAATTCAAGATAGTGGCCAATATTTCATAAAGAAAATCTGAGCTTCCACTGATTAAAAATAGGCCAGCACTGCAGGGTACACTTCTCTTTATTGCTGAAAAATGTAAGGACCAAAAGGTTTTCACCTGATCTTCACTCTGCCTGTCTTCACTTCTGATTCCTGTTACAACTGGATCTGCACCTTAATAAATTTATGTGAGCTAGATTTTGAAACTTTCATCCTATAATATGTATCTAAATTTTACTTCACTTTGTTTTTGTTCATACATATTTATACAGAAAGAACTGGCAGAAGTTGACAAATATGAAGTTTATTTTGCAAGATTCAGGTAAGACTGTAACAATCATTTTTTGGCTTGTACAGTATGTTTCTCTCTAATTTTGAACTATTAAAAAAATAATGCGCTAATTTTCCTCTGTACCTGTCTACAGGCCTACATCAACTGCATCTTGACCTAAGGAAGCAGAAACAAAAAATAGTTTCAATAAGTTGATCTTTATGCAGGCTTTTCTTTTGATTTTAGATCAGAGTTTGAAAGTGGCTCCATTTCTCTGGCACTGTTAGCAAACAAAATAACAGTAACAGTTGGAATAGGAATTTCACCTCTGTGTTATGACCTCTATGAGGCAAAAGCAAGTGAGAAGAAAACTGAACTGCAGACAATCCTGTTCCGATTAGCTGACAGAGTCTCTGAGCTCACCGAGCAACTGAAAGGTAAGTCAATTATTATTATTACTATTAAGCCTGATGTGTGCAGTGTCCTTGAAGATTGTTCTGGAACTGTCTTTAAAAAAGCCACTGAACCCTCCTCATTTCAGGGCCTTTCTGTTCATTGTTTTTGTTGTTGTTGTTGTTGTTGTTGTT